CATTAACTCAGGGTTTAGCAATTTATCAAGGGCATATCAGATGCTGCAATGAGCCAAGTATCATTTTCTTACATTCTTAATTCTTATCTTAAATTAAAGAAGCAGAAGCTCCCAAATCTTGGCCCTGGTACATGCTGTCAGAGTCTTCCAACATGTCAACTTACATTGCTCATAGGTACAAAGGCAAGGGGTGAGCTCTGCTATGTTAATGACTGCCTTGTGACTGCCTTGGCAAAGACCACCACAAACAAGGCTTGCTGCTGTAAAACTCCTGCCTTATCCTGTGCTCTGCTGTAGCACTTGCTGGTGTTGGTTTCAGTTCTCAGCTTGGATGGGATGGGTTGTGATAGTTCCTGTGTGCAGTGTCGTTGTTCAGCGTTACGCTTCTATGTCTTAATGAAAGCCCAGAGTCTTCAGACAGTCTGGTTTACCAAATGATTTCAAAATATGACAGCTAGATGCTCATGGAGCAGGGAAATGGATCAAAAAAGGATGGTTAGTTTTTAAAGGTTATTTGTGAGTAAATTATTTCTGTTGCTTTTTGTTGTCTTTAGATTTTCTCAAGCAGAATACATATGAAGTCGAGGCATTCTTAGAAGCCATTCAGTTCTTCCGGCAGGAGAAGGGCCACTATGGGACATGGGAAATGATAACTGGCAATGAAAAAGAGGTAAAAGAATACCTTCCTGATTTATTTTTTTTTTTTTGCTTTGAATATGGTAGCTCTGAGGACAGTGAAAGTTGTAAAGCCTCTTGGGAAAAATGGCATTTGTAAAAAGAAGATGTAGGAGGTAGAAATACTCAAGATTTCAAGATGCTTCTTGCTGATATACAATAATTCTCCTTTAATATACCTCATTTTGATTTTTTTCTAGAAAGTGAAAGAATGTGTGCTGTGAACTAAAGGTGTTGTGTTCATAGAATCATGGAATGGTTTGGGTTGGAAGGAACCTTAAAGTTCATCTAGTTCCAACTCCCCTGCCATAGGCAGGAAAAATTCCCAGTAGACCAGGTTGCTGAAAGCCCCATCCAATCTGGTCTTGAACACCTCCAGTGATGGAGCATCCACAGCTTCCCTATGCAACCTGTCCCAGTGTCTCAGCACCCTCAGAGTGCAGAACTGCTTCTTAATTTCTCATCTAAATCTAAATGTGTTGTGCTGAGACGTAGGGATGGCCACACTTCCACAGAAAGCATCACCTACTTTACTTTTATGCCACGGGTTCAGTTAGTGAATAAATGCTGTGTCTAAAAGAAGGTGTTTGCTAACGTCTGGCTACCACATTTGCTGCCATTTATAGTTTTGGTAAATTAGTGAGACCAAAAGCAACCCAAACCAGACAGAGCCCACAGTTTCTATGCAGGGGATATTTGCTGTCGGCTACACTGAGCTGTGCACTCTTTTTCTATCTTTCATGACAGCTGTTTTGCAGGTAAGAAATATTTTTTTCTCTTCTGTTGCTATTACCTTTGTTACTAAACACAACAGTTTCCTGTTGCTCAGTCCCTGATGACTCCAGCTGCCATCAGGCTTTGCACAGAACAGAATAGCAGCTCAACATAAATTTTGAAGAATCTCTTCATTTTGTTTTTCTCCATTCTTTGGGAACTTCTAGTCCTGAGTGGATAAACTAGCAGACCTGCTTATTGTGCCAGACTTCTGAGCCTTGCATAGTAACAGTTGCACTTAGACACCAAAAATTTGTGTACCTCAGCTCTTCAGAAATGAGATGCTAAGCTCAGGGTCTGAGTCCATATTTGGGCACCTGAGTGAGCAGCTTTGGAGCACTGATGGCAGCTGAAGTAACTCCACCGATCCCGCTGGCATCGTTCCAGATGTCTTTTAATGCAATTGAGACATTATTTGGGCCCTGTTTTATAATTTTTTTCCAAAGCAAGGAGCAGTCAGCAGCAAATATTTACTTTAGTACCAGCTGCTGGGTGTTTTCCTTGATGAAATATGGCTTCCCTTTGGGAAAATGGAAAAAAGCCTGTTGGAGAGCTAACGATCCAGGGGTTTGTTTTAAGAAACCAGATTATTCTTTGAGGAGAAGTCTACCTCTGAAGTGCTGAAAAATGTGAAGACTGGATAAGAATCTATAAAAAATCTTTCCTAGTGCCATCATGTCAGGGATTGAAGTTTCCTGCTAAAATCTGGTTATAAATTCCTTAGTGTATGGAGTTGCATCCTTCCAGAGGAGAGAGTGAGTGTTTTTCTCTTCTCCCCTCCTTCCTCACGTTATGGAGCTATTATAATGCTAGTTTCATTTTATGTTTTATTTATCCTGTTGCTTGCCAGCTACTTACTCATAACCCATACACCTCCAGGGGACTGTAATCAGAAGACATCCAGGATAGTTACACTATTATCTTCTTAGTAATAATTCATTCTGTAAGTATAGCGTGTTCTCATGCCGGCATTGACCGAATATAATAATTATTTTAGGCAAATATCCAAGCTAAGTGAATGGTTTGGAACGAGCAAGCTACAATTTGTTGCTGTAAAAATCTCTTCAGAATGCCAATAAATATATTCCCTGACATTCATTTCTTATGACAGAGTCTGCAGCATTAGTTCACACAGTTCTGCCTAGGTACTGCAACACAGACGTAGCCGTAGCAAGTACTAAACTTTTGTGTGTCATAAATGTTCCTTTTCCTGCTTTTGTTTTTGTTCTTTTTAATTTTTAAGGTTTCATTCCTAACAAAGCATAAATTTAATTGTAGATGGTATTTCTGTAGCTAAACTGCTGAAATACAGGGTTAAACTCAGAAAATTTTTGATAACATTTGTTCTAAAAAAAAAAAAAACCAAGCCCCTACAGTGCACCTTTGAGTATAGAAGTCTAAAGCCCATGCAGCATTCCTAAAAATTTTTCTAGAAAGTCAGATTCTTCAGAATATATTTGATCAGTTGTCACATTGATTATTTGCTCTGTGATGCTCCAGTGTGGATTATTTGTGAGATATTTTTTTAAGGGACCCATCAGTTTAGGATATGAAGTAGCCATAGAATCATGGAATCATAGAATCATTTTGATTAGAAGAGACCTTTAAGATCATCGAGTCCAACTATTGACCCAGCACTGCCAGGGCACCACTAAACCATGTCCCTCAGTACCACACCTACACAGCTTTTCAGTCCCTCCAGGGATGGGGACTCTACCACTGCCCTGGGCAGCCTGGGACAGGCCTTGACAACCCTTTTGGGGAAGATGTTTTTCCTCATGTCCAACCTAAACCTCCCCTGGCTCAACTTGAGGCCATTTTCTCTTGTCCTATCACTTGTTCTTGGGGAGACCAATGCCCACCTCACCACAGCCTCCTTTAAGGGAGTTGTAGACTATGAGAAGGTTTCCCCTGAGCCTCCTTTTCTCCAAGCTAAATAATCCCAGTTCCCTCAGCCGCTTCTCACAAGACTTGTGCTCTAGATCCTTTACCCTCTTTGTTGCCTTTCTTTGGATGTGCTCCAGTCCCTCAATGTCCTTCTTGGAGTGGGGGACCCAAAACTGAACCAGGTATTTGAGATGTGGCCTCACCAGTGCCAAATCCAGGGGGATGATCCCTACCCTAGTCCTGCTGGCAACACTATTGCTGATCCCAGCCAGGGTGCTTGGCCACCTGAGCATCTGGTGGCTCATCTTCAGCCAGCTGTTGACCAACACCGCAGCTCTTTTCGGACAGGCAGTTTGCAGCTACTCTTCCCCCACCCTGGAACATTGCAGGGGGTTGTGGTGACCCAGGTGACCTGGCACTTAGCCTTGTTGCTCCTCATCCCATTGGCCTCAGCCCACCTATCCAGACCCCTCTGTAGACCCTCCCTACCTTCAAGCACATCAACACTCCCACCCAACGTGGTGTTGTCTGCAAACTACCTGAGCCTGCGTGCCCTCGATCCCCTTGTCCAGATGTTTGATAAAGATATTGAAGAGAACCTGCCCCAGTACTGAGCCTGGGGAACACCACTTGTGACCGACCGCCAACTGGATTTCACTTCTTTCACCACCACTCTTTGGGCCCAGCCATCCAACATAGTTTTTATCCAGCAAAGAAAATGGTCATCCAAGCCATGAGCAGCCAGTTTCTCTAGATGAGAACGGGATGTCTCCAGATTGAGACGCTTTGAGTAATTCAGGAATCCAACATATGGCCCCAGCGCTGATAGATGTCTCCATAGGAAGAGTGTTCAGAAACCTGAGCTCACAAATAAATAGCAGTAGGGCAGGTCCCATGATGAACTACCTCCCTCTGCTTGCATAGTTTGCCTCCTTGGACAACAGCAAGAGAACAGCACAGGAGGAAAAAAGGTCTTGCCGCTTTCTCAGGCCAGAGACACAGTGTCCCTAAATTTAAAAAAAAAATGGAGAGGAAAGCCTTGACTCTTGAAACCAGATGTGTGCCTGTAACTCTGTTTATTGCCAGCTTGGTGCATCTGAATGGGATGGGCAAGAACCAAGCTGTAGTTCAAATCTAGGCAGAGGAGGTGCAAAGCCTGACAGAGCGGGTGATTCTGAAGAAAACTTCTGAAATGGGTGCCTGTGTATGAAACCAGGAATCCATCTCACAGCGTTTAATTTTTCTCTGTTGAAGAAGCCAGACTTTGATATTTGTTCTGTACAAAGCAGGGTGTCAGGAGAATCACAGAACCAGAGAACAGTTTAGTTAAAAGGGGATCTCTGGAGGTTAACTGGCCCAATGCCCCACTCAAAGCAGAGCCAACTTTGGGGCTTTCTGTAGTTGACTTCTTAAGAAATACATGGCTGGAGATAGCTTGACTTGTTCTCATGACTGCACTCCTGGTGAAAAATAGTTCTTAATCCCTGTTTACTGTTTCCCTTGTTGCTACTTGTAGCCATTGCTTTCTTCCTTTCCCTGTGCATTTCCAAGAAAAGCCTGGCTCTGTCTGCCCAACATCCTCCATTGTGTAGATGTAGACAGCAATAAGGTCTCCACTGAGTCTTATCGTCTTAAAGCTGAGCAAACCCAGTTTCCTCCACCTCTTTTCACATGTAATGTGCTTCATCCCCAGACCACAGTGGAGGCCTCTGCTGGACTCACTCCAGTGTGTTAAGATCTCTCTTTTTACTGGGGAGCCCCAAGCTGGACACTGCTCCAGTTGCAGTCTGACAAGTGCTGAATAGAGGGCAACGTTCTCCCTCGACCTGCTGCTCCCCTTTGCCATGAGGGCACCCTGCAGACCAGTGTTGAATTTCTTGTCCACCAGAATGCCCAAGTCCTTTTCTGCAAAATTGCTTTCCAGACAGTTGTCACCAGCCTATACTGGTGCACGGGATTGTTCCATCCCAGATGCTGGACTACGTATTTGATTTTGCTGAACTTCATGAGGTTTTTGTCCACCCATTTCTTCAGCCCATTTATGTCCCTTTGAATAGCAGCCTTGCTTGCCAGAGTATTGACCACTCCCCCAAATTGGTATCATCTGTATCCCCAGTCCAATGACTTTTGTTTCTAATTGGAACCATCTGCAAGACCAAATTGCCAGTCAGATGCTGGGATCTGAGGGGTGATGCATCTCTACAACCACTCAACCCTTTTTCAAAGTGAAAACATTCTTGGGGGAGAAGAGTACTCTGTGTCAATTTAGCAAAATACAGCAATGAGAGACCAACAGTATACTTAGAGAAATAATAAAAAAATGGGACAATGACACCTCCTGCTCAGTTTTCCCACATTCCATCACAAACTCTTCTTATCTGTCTAAAAGTCCCTTCAACACTTTTCTTCCCCTTGCCTTTCTACTGTGGTGCATCTTTCTCACAGTGTATCTTCTTAGGTTATATATTTTTTGGTCAAGAATCTGGAGGGTTTGGGAGGAGACTTTAACATAAATGAACTCTACAATGTGAAATTTTTACTGAATTTAGACCAGTATTGCTGTCTTCTCATGAGAACAGTAATTGCTTGAAAAGTGTTTCATGCAATGCAAACCCCAACAGCTCTTTAGTTTATCTCTTTTGCCTCAGGATTGGTGAGTGCAATTGGTGCTCAACTGAAAAAGTGCTAGAGATCCACATTTGTACAGGCATAGATTTCTTTTTTGTGCCCAGTTACCTTTGTATCAGAAGTATTCTTTGTCTGACGAGTCTCTAGAACAATTTCTCCCCACTGATACCTCCACTGGGAGGGTGTAAACATCCCAGAACAAGATCAGTTTGGGGAAGCAGCAGTAATCAGCAAATATATTTTCAAATGTTTTTGATCCAGTTGCTCAGTTGATATCAATCATTTTAGCTCCATTGATTTGCACATGGCAATTTCATAATAGCACACGGCCAATTTTAATGGTCATCTTAGCTCAGCATCTTAGTTCCTCTGTTGTCAATTGTTGTACGGTCCCTCAAAGTCTTCCAGTGAAAAATGCTTCAGATTAAACACTTCCCTCAGGCATTCCTAATATTTTAAATCCAGCCCTCTGGTAGTCTGGGATGTCTAAGCTCTGGGTATATTTGAGGTTGTCTCTGTTTGCACATCACTCTGTGATGTGAGTGCTCAGTTTTTCAGTGAAGAAACTGTGTGAACATGTTACTTTAATCTTCTGACCACACAGATCCTGAGCAATCTTGTGATGGAGGAGCTCCTGCCTAACCTTCAGACCATGATGCTGCCTAAAATGAAAGGAAAGAGGAATGATAGGAAGCGGGCCTGGTTTGGTGTAAGTCCTGGTATTTGCAGGGTGGCTGTTTCTCATAGCAGTTGTCTGTATGTGCTGATTCTGATTATGCTTCTTAATTTAATTTGAGTTTAGATTGTAGAAGAAACTTATGGCTTAGTCCAGCAGCAGGTGTCAGAAGGATTATGCACCTTGAAAGAAGAATGCAGAGATTTTGTGAAAACTCTTGAAGGAACCATTCGTTCAGACATGGATCAGATTCTGAACTCAAAGAACTTCTTAGCTGGAAAAATCAAAGGTTTGTGGAGGAACAGCTGTGTTTTGGAGCAATTTTTTAATGTTCCCCATTGTATTGCTGAAATTATCAACTGTCATTGTTGTGGTATCTTTGCGTGTTTTGAAAAGTCCAATTGGAGCCACTCACTTTCAGAAAATAAATGCTTTGAGCCTCTGCAGCCTTTGATGGGAACTGATACCTGTGGCCGCCGTATCTGTGAACATAGCAGGTCTGCTCAAGTTGGGACTACAGCAGGCAGGTTTTGAGTATCCTGATCAGAGTTGCTCATTCTGCTTTCATTTTCATTTGGACAGCCTTTTGTGATGAAGATACAGGTCACATGACCATAATTAAAAGTGTAGTGGCTTTAACCTGATGTCTAGGAATGCACCACAAAACCAGGTTCTGGTTAGGTGACAAATTCATAGGCTACCAGAGAATATTTAGACCAAAGGGCTTCTTAGGTGGTTTTAAACTACTGTGAAGTAATTGTAATTTTGCTTTGAATATAAAAATGTGTGTAAAAAGCAGGGAAAACATTAGTTGATATTGCTTTAAGCCAGCACATAAATAAATAGCTGGTAATTTTGGAGCTGTTTTGATGGAACTCAGGATATTCTATCGATATATTCCCATACTAGACTAGGAAGCTTTCAGTGGAGTACAGAGGCCCAGGTTCAGAGGCCTTATAGAGTCTCCATGGCCACACTCTGTGCAAACCTCCCAGTATCAGTATCAATACTTAGGGCTGCCCTTTGTTCTCACAGTGCCCCCAGGCTGCTGGCCTTTGGTTCAGTGGAGCATGGGAAAACAGGCTTCATTGTCACTCATAAAACTATGAACTCTCCTTTCATCACCATCATCATCTTTGTGGAGTGGTGACTCCAGGGAAATAAAGAGAGTCATTTAATTCATTGTAAAGTCTTATCAGTTCAGATTACATTTTTCACTGTATCTCATAGTAACCTAAATGCAACTGTTGTATTGTCTGACCCTGCAGCCACTGTTTCTGAGCCTGCCCAGAAGTGCTGCACAGAGAATATCCAGCCATTTCTCACCTCCATACTAGAGGAGCTCATGGGCCCAGTGAGTTCTGGATTCACTGAAGTCCGCTCACTTTTTGATAAAGAAGTTAATGAAATCATCCAAGACTTCCAGAAGACAAATGATATCACAAAGCTAAAGGAGGTAAGACAAAAATATATTTGGAGTCCTTTATATTAGAATCATAGAATCATAGAATGATTTTGGTTGGAAGGGACCTTAAAGATCATTTAGTTCCAACTCCCCTGCCATGGGCAGGGACACCTTCCACTAGACCAGGTTGTGCAAGGCCACATCCAACCTGGCCTTGAACACCTCCAGTGATGGAGCACCCACAGCTTTCCTGGGCAACCTGTGCCAGTGTCTCACCAGTCTCATAGTGAACTTACCACAAGGACCTTCTAGCTAGGACTTGACTGACAGCAGTATTTTCTTTCCTAGGGGATAGTATGTTAGCACTTGTTTTTTTCACTCAGAAAGCCTTGTAGTATTTGTGCTTCTAGAGTGTAAGTATCTAAATTTGGTTTAGGGCCACTGTTATGTTCTCTGTTAAAAATTCACCTCTGGTTGCTTTCTCTCAAAACCTGTTCTTCCTCCACTGGAATGCAGAATGTGGGTGAGCTTATGAAACTACCGTTCAACTCTGTGAAAATGGAGCCCTGCTATCTGAAAGTGAACCTCCTTCAGGAGCTCCTTCAAGATCTTAAGAGTCGCTTCAAGGTCTATCACATTGATTTTGTGATTCAGAGGACACAGAACTTCATGCAAGAGGTACTGTAAGATCTAGTTTTTCCTCCTGGGAGAACAGGTTAGGTCTGTCCTTCTAACCTGCATCAAAGTAATCTTGATAAAATGCTGTGCAAGAGTCCCAGAATATTTCTCAATCAACATGCAGATAACAAAACCTAAGCAAATCACAGCTAGAAGGTCTTTGACATTTATATTTATGAGTTTGCACGTGTGTGAGTCTTTCAGCAAGGCCCAAAAATTTTGGATGGATCACCTCTTCCCCTGAACCTTCATGTTCTGAATTCTCAGAGTCTCAGCACCTGAGAAAGTTGTTCGTGTAACCAATGGGGTGGGTAAAATCTACCTGATTTCTGTTCACAAGGGCTGATTTTGCAGGGAGGGTTTTGAATATATTTTAACAAAATGAAATGTCTTCTCCTTGGAAGTTTATTTTTTCACCATATATAAGCTAAAGCAATTAATTTTAGAAACTGTTAATTACTTGGACACAGGTGATGTCTCAGGATGTGGCTGCATGTAGGTGCTTTAACCAGCTTCACTTCTCATGGGAGTGGTTGAAGTGACTATGTCATTTCAGCTGAAAAATGAACCCCACCTCTTTTTCCCCTCTAGTGTGTATTGGTATAGGCTGTCATTTTGCTTTCCTTTTATTTCTTCTGTGTGCCTGGCCAGAAATCCATTAGGAGCTGGCCAGTAGACTCCTTTTGACTGCCAGATCACAAGGCATATTTGGCCTTACAGCTTTGTGTTGAATCCTGTGATTTTAATCCATAGCTGGGAAACTCAATAATGTAGTCAGGACTGTTGGGGAATGGAGCCGGTCCAGTTCTGTGGGGTGGGAGGTATGAATATGGAAAGCGAGTCTCTAGCACAGTGCTGGGATGGGGTTTTCCTAAAAGCAGCTCTTCTAACTACAGTCATCATCAGCAGCCAAAGAACTATTCAGAAATAAAATTCTGATTTCATGTCTGGGTCTTTCAGGGGGGACCATTCCAAAATACTGCCAAATAAAATGTCTTTCAATAAGTGCAGGCCAAGAGTCAGGACAAAGAAGTAGATAGAAAATAAATCCCATGCAGACCAAGTGGTGCTTTTTTCTGAGCAGAACATGAGTCAGAATTCACAATAAGTAAGTTACATTAAAGCACAACTTATTCTAAAAAATGCTGTTATTGCTTCTCTCTCTTTAAAAGGCTGGCATTTTGCTCATAAAAATAGTATTTCCTCTTTGTGTCCATGGACATTTATTTTATTAATGAGTAAGGTCAGGCATGTCCATACTCATGTAGTCTTAACATATAAGAAGCCTTTGGCTTAACCCATAACTCAGGTGAAGGCTGGAGCAGGACTCCTTGTCTTGGGAGGTTGGCATCCTCTAGTGGCCAGTTCTAGGAAACTTGGGAGCATAGTGCTTGACTGACATAAATAAAGCAGCTTCAGTATCTTTACCAGAACTGTGCCAATTTGTGGTTTGCCGCACATAAAAATTTAAATAAGAAGTGAGTTAATCTTTTCATCAGCCTCAGACTTAACTCTGCACTGATTTTTCTATTTTCTACTACTTTTTGTTGTATGGAAGGCCTTGCAGTGTATGAGCGTTTCCTGTAAAGCCTTCTGATGCACACACAAATTGAGTCAGCCTTCAATCTCTCCATTTCCATTTATAAATACAGTATGTATAGTGCAATCCTACATTATCTGCAAAGTCAGTTATAAAATTGGCCTTAAACAGCATCTTGTCATTTATGACAATATGGACGCCAAGGAGGAATTACCAGCGTGTCTTATCCATAAGTAGGTACATGTTCATTTACAAACTACAAGAATCATAGAACAGGTTTGGTTGGAAAAGACCTGTAATATCATTGAGTCCAACCATTAACCCAGCACTGCCAGGGCACCACTAAACCATGTCCCTCAGCACCACATTGACATGACTTTTCAATCCCGCCAGGGATGGGGACTCCAGAACTTCCTTGGGCAGCCTGGGACAGGGCTTGACAACCCTTTTGGGGAGGAAATTTGTCCTGATGTCCAACCTAAACTTCCCTGGCTCAACTTGAGGCCATTTCTTCTGTCCTATATAGTATATGGCTATGTATGTTGACTGGGATAGTCCCATGTGGTGCAAAGGAAGGCCTGGCCGTATGGACAGCCTCCCTGTGGGTGTCCCTGTACTTCTCCAGTAAGAACATATTAAAATCTGGATGGAAATACTTTGCTAAAAAAGACAAAACCTCACTGAGCAGACAGAATTACCACTTGCAGAAGTGTTTTTCTCAAGTACCTTTTCAGAGTAGGGGCTTTAATATTTTTGAGGTATTGCTGGATAACTTGGAAAAATACCAGCCTGACATAATTCTGTGAGAAGTTATTGCACTGTGTGATTTTTGCTTATAATTATTTTGTATTATTAGGAAAGCTAGTGATTAATTACTTTTTAAAAAAATAAAAATTGTCTGCAGGGTTGATGATTAAGACCATTAGAGTCTGGTAGGAGTCAATGGGAGTCTTCTCATTAGGGATAATGAGTTTTATCTGTGGCCTTTATATGTAAATAATCAATCCTACTTCTTGTCTGTGTTACCATCAGTCTGGATGGTGCAATGAGATTAAATCTATAGAGGAAAGCTATGATAGCATAATAATGATACCAAGGCTTAATTTTCTTTATTTATTGCCTCATTTCTGTGCATGTTAGCTTTCAGAGAAATGAAATGCAGCAGGAAAGTTTGGACTATATAAGTGAATCTACTTCGAGTAAATTTACTGATACAACTGTGTAGTTACATTAACAGACTTCCTAATACTGAACTCAAGATAGATACTGAGCTATTTTAATTTTCTTATTATTTTGAATTAGATAATCTTCTTTTCAGTTTCCCATTCCAGAACTGGGTGTTGCAATCTAAACTAAATAAGGCTTTTCTTCCCCTTCTGCGATCATTTAAAGAACTTAAAATATTTATTGATTTTAGGCCCATTATTCTTTCTCCTTTCTACCTTCTCAAAAATACACTTTAAGTCAATGGTTACATTTATCGTGCTTCTTTGCATGTGTAGGATTTTTATGTTACTAGTCTTTGACATATTTTTTTAATTATTATTTTTAGCTGATGGAAAATGCAGTTTATACTTTTGAGCAGTTATTCTCACCAAGTCGCCAGGCAGACTCAGCCAAAGTTGCAACAACCATTGAAAAAGTCAAGCTGAGAGTACTGAAGGTAAATATAATGTAGCAGCGTTTGAAGAGGAAGACCTTGGGTTGTGCCTTTTCAGAAACAGAGACTATATTTAATGTGAATTCATCTCAATATTTGAAAGAAGATACCTGATAGCATCCAGCTGGAAATACTGATTTGGTGGCACTTGGCAAAGCTGCTCGTTTCAGGGATAAAACCTAATTCTGAGCAGATTCTTGTAAAAGTATTTACATGCTCAGTCCCTTTCATTGCAGCTAGATCATCTGGATACGATGCTGTGGATCTCGGTGAAAAGTTGTCTGTTATCTTTATAATTATCCTGCCACTAGAGTAATGCTACTCTCAGAAGAGGGAGTGCTGGAATACCTGAAGAGAGCAAGCAGGGGGCTGTTTCTAGTCTATGTATAAAAAAAATGAAGAGAAAAAGTTCCCAGAAAACTAAAGTATTTTTGTAAAAGCTGGAATAGCCTACATGGTAATTCAAACCCCTAAGTGTGCCTGTGATGTGGTATCTTTTGGGATTCATCTGTCCCAGTTGCAGGATAACAAGAATGAGTTCCCCTACAAGTGATGAATAACCCCAAACGTGTTCGGGCTTGTTTCTCTTTTTTGTCTGTTTTGACAGCAATATGATTATGACAGCAGCACTATCCGGAAGAAGATATTTCAAGAAGCACTGGTACAGATTACTTTGCCCACAATGCAGAAGACACTGGCTTCAACATGCAAACCAGTAGGTTTCTGTGATTAAAACACCCGATAAAAATAAAAGGAGTGCATCCTCCACTCTGTAAAGCTGTTTTCTCTCAGGCAGGGAGCTGTGCAGATTGGCTGCGGGCTTAGCCAGATGACATTTAGATTTGCCAGTTTGTGGACTAGGCAGATGAGGAGCATAAGGAGAATTTAAGGAAACGGGGAGACTATATACAGCTTTTTTTTCCTCAAAGATAGGTGCAGACCTTTGGCCATCCCCATTTCATTCCTTCCCTAGAGAAGTCCCCTCAAGCTGGACTCCTCTTGGCAGTTATGACTGTAGGTTATGGGCTTGTCCTTGTGTTCAGCAGCCCTGCTGCAGGCTGAAATTCAGTCCATGGGACACTTTGCTCTCTAGGAGCACCCCAAGACACAGCTGTGACCATACACAGCTTCTGCTGACAACCTCCCTCAAAGCCAAACACCTGCTTGGGCAGACAGAGTGGCAGACAGAGAGGCCATGCACTTGCCTTTTGTGTCTTTAAATGGGAGCTATTGCATCAACAGTCAGGAAACACACATACAGAGGTGATCTCTGTTGCCCTTAATCATATGGAAAGTTTAATACTCAGCAAAGGTGGCTGCCAGAGTTTCATGGAGATGTTATCCGTGTGGCTGTGCCAGGGGCCAGTTGGAATGCAGTTCAACTTGCCTCAAAATAAGTAGTCTGTAGCCTTCTTGAAGCCTATGCATATCCTCTTGCATTTTCATCCTTTCGGTACCGGATTGTGACACCTGCTGAAAGATGAGTACCCTGAGCCACCACCCTGGCCTCTCTGCCCTTTAGTTTCCATTGGTGTTCATCAGTTCCCAGAGGCCGTAAGCTCTCACCCATCGTGAGTGGCCTTCACTGACGCTCTCCAGCTTGTTTCAGTTTCCAAAACAAGTTTAAAAACAAGTGTTTTGCCAGGTTATCCTTGTGAGTCTTTGAGTATGAGTTATTAAAGCTTTATTAAAACTTAGAATTTTCAAAAATATATTTAAAACTGCTGTCTTCTGTGTGTTACTCTACTTTCTTCACTGTCCCCAAAATATTAGTATCTTGTAGAGTGTCAGTGGTGCCTTCAGGACATGTTGTCTAATGCACAGGGGCAAGCATTTCATTGCCTTGAACATCTAGAGAGAGGGTGGAGTCCCACATCATCTCTGTCATACAGGATGGAGTAAGTGGTGGTGGTGTAAACTCCCCACAAGCCCTTTCTGTTTAATTTCCCACAAGCCTTCTGCGTTTGTGCCTCTGCAGAAGTGAGCAGCCAGCTCTAGAAGGAAAAGTGTGGCACAGCTGACATGCCCAGTCTAGTCTTGACCTTTTACTCAAAAACCTCCACGTGTTTGTACGTTGGTGCCTCTTCTAGAAGTGGGCAGAGGTCACTTTATCTGCTTTTTATAGACCACCGAGCAGCTGCTTAGTGATAATGACTCTATTATTGTCTAGACAGCCTATTGTGTGTAAATGAGTAAGCTAAAAGTACTACACGCCTATTAGAAAAACAAACCCCAACCCTTTATCTCCTCCCATGCTCACTGTGGATTTGCCTCCTTGGACAAACAGTGAGCGAGGCTTTTCCTCATCAGCTATTTATTTCTGAATGGCTTAAGGCAGATGGCAATGATCTATAGTGCTTTTAAATGTAATTGTAGTGCGAGAATATTGTTTAATTAATGCATAATAACTTGTGAACATTCATCGTTCATTTAGCGATGGTTCAAATCATTCACCTCAAGAGGCAGCAAGGAGCATTGCAGGGCCTGCTAGATGGCATCTCCAAGGTGCTCTGTTGGTGGAGGTCTGTCAGCATCTCTCAGTGTTACATCCCTGTTCCTCTCTTCTGTGCCTGCACAGGAGCTGCAGAAGTACGAGCAGTTCATTTTTGCCGATTACACCAGCGTGATCCAAGTGGAGAATGTGTACGAAGAGATTTTGTATCAGACTCTGCTTGAAGAAGCCCTGAAAGGTGAGAACGTTCCTGAGGTGACAGTAATAAGATTTTGGCTGTTGAATGAGCTCTTACTTCAGAGCTTCCCAGAGACCTACCCTGGTTGTTTCAGACCCCGGTCCCACTTTCCCCAAGACCAGTGGTTACAATACTACAGTGTTTTCATTTAGCTCACTAAAGATGTGTGGCAAGCCCTAAAACCTGAATTATTGGGCAACTTTATTAAACCTGGGAAACTCAAAGCGATAGCTTGGCACAAGCCTATTTCTAATAAAATGTAATTGTGCTGACTTCATTTTGTCTTCATTCCCTGGGACAAGGAGTGAAATTATGCTCTTATTTGGAAAGATTTGCTGATACCTAATGGTGGCAAAAACTAATTTCCCCAAATGAAAGGTGCTGCTGGATGCTGTTTCCAGAACATTGCTGGTGCCAGTGCAGTACTCTCTTCAGAAGTCTCTGCTTTTGTGTCATAAAACAAAACTATTCACAATGGCATATATAGATACATAGAATACTTGTACCTCTCTGGATCTGTCTGTCTGCCTATACCCTAGATAAAAGACAAGCATCTGTATTTGCCCCATCCCTGGAACCATTCCAGGTGAGGTTGGGCAGGGCTCTGAGCAACCTGCTCTAGTTGCAGATGTCCCTGCTCACTGCAGGGGGTTGGACTAGATGGCGTTGCAAGGTCCCTTCTGACCTAAACCATTTTGTGATTCTGTGTATTGCACAGTAAGTTTTAATAGTTCATCTCTGACAAAACTTGAACTCCTGTTCAAGAGTATCAGTATAATGTAACGAGTACACTTTTTTTCATAAATTCACTGTAAATATTTTGGCTCTAAAACATTATGTTTGTGCACTGTGGGTCCTCTGGTAGTTTTCTGCTACAGCAACTCTTAGGTCAATATTGAAGTTCTGTTATTCAGAAAAGATAAACACACGCCACCCTCACCCCTAGGAAATGTAAACTAAAAAAGCAAGTTGAAGATGAAAGTTGCTGTTGTCCATAATGTCGCAATACCTGACACCAGAAACCCGGGATAACAACGTGCCTTCTTCAAGGTACCTCTGCAAGTCTTTCCAAACTGGTTTGATCTTTCTCTTTTATTTAGTGATAAAAGAAGCTGCCATTATGAAGAAGCACAACCTCTTTGAAGATAACGTCAGTTTGCCCTGTGAAAGTGTGTCCAGCCTAACAGACCTGAAGACCCCTTCAGGATCAGCCCAAACCACTCCTGCCAAGAAGCCTTCCACGGCCCGAGCCGAGGCGTCAGACAGCGAAACTCAAAGTGATGAAACGCTCATTGTGACGGAAAAAATTTCCTGGGAGAAGGATGCTGATGGTAGAAAGTCATCAGACAAAGAGGCAGTCTCTTCTGCTAATCCAGCTGGGGATCAAGCAAGCAAAGATGAAGAAGTGGTCATTAAAGACATCATTGAAAATCAGGAGTCCCTTCCAGCTGCCCTTACAAAACAGGAGGCTGCAGAGCAAGAAAGCACTTTGGAGAACAAAGACATAATGAAAGAGTTTGTAGTGAACATTGAGAATGAGTTTAAGACACAACAAGAAGCTGTGGAGGAAAAGGTAGCTCTGGGGACTGAAACTGCAGTGAAAGATTTTGGTGTCATCCCTGAAAAAGAACTTAAGGTACTTGAAGAAGCAGTGGAGGAAAAGGTAACTTCAGAGAGTAAAATGGCAATGGATGCTGCGTTTGTCAGTGACGCTGAAAAAGGAATCAAAGTGCAGGAAGAAGTTGCTGAGACAAAGCTGACTTCCCCACATGATAATGTAGCAGAAGCAGAGATTTTAGGGAATGCTGAAAAGAAAATCCAGGTAGAAATTATGGAAGCATCATCTCTGAGTGAAGATGCAGTAGCAACAGGGTGTGAAAAGGATAGTGAAAAAGAAAGCAATGAGCAAGGAGTGAGTACTGACACAAGGGTTATTTCCCAGGATGAAAGCACAGGGAAAGGAGGATCTGGGGATAATCCTGAGAACACAAGCAGGTCAGAAGAAAACAGTCGTAAATGCCCTGATGATGTGAATGAGATAAGGAGTTTGCTCATGGTAACAGTTGAGATACCAGCAGATACTCCAGCTGAGAAGATAGAGGAGGTTTGTGAAGGTGAGATATTAAAGTTGCAGGAGCACAGGGAAGGGAGCAGTGAGATGAGCCAAATGGCCGTGGTGGGAATTCAGGTGAGCCAGACCATGATGAATAAAGAAGCAGCAGAATGTGCGGAGTTCAAGGACAACCAACCATCTTCACCTCACTTGGGGGTAGATGGTATGGATTTAGTGAAGGTGTCCGAGGTGGCCCACAACACAGCGCAAGCAGAATGGCTGGTTGGGAGCTCAGGTGCACCTCAGGAGGCACAGGCAGAGGTGGAGACCAAGCAGAGCGTTTGGTACGCGGGCGCGGGAAGCAGCAGAAGCAATGGATTGCAGCCAGAGGAGCACACCGAGGACGTGGCTGAAGGCAGGAGATCAGCTGAGGTGGCAGGGGGAGTGGGGAGCAGCCACGCTGGCCCAGGGGAGGTTGGGACGCCGAGCTCTTCTCAGAATCCTGCTGAAGACGCAGACACGGCGCAGGCGCCCGGCGTGGGTACGGAGGAGCCAAGCACAGGACTGCCAGACCTGCTGGAGCAGGGCCAGGGGAGCGCCAGAGGCAGCGCAGGAGACACACAGCCTGGAGAGGGTGAAGGGGAGCCAGCGGGTGAATCACCTTCACACACAGAAATGGAAAGCACAGAAGTAAAGGATGTTTTCACAGAAGAAAACAGAGAGGATGCTCATGGGCAGCAAAACTCGGAAGAGTAAGAGGCGCTTTCCAGCCCAGCCCCGCAGGATTGATTTTCCCCAGTAATCCCTGTTTAATTGTGAATACTTAATTGGGTCAGGGCTGGAGGAAATGGGCTTTGTTGTGGTATTACCAGCTCCTGACGTTTCGGCACAGATCCCTTCCTGAGTGACGGGTGATGGGTTTCTTTTCGGTTAAAGCCTTCACTGTTTAAAACCAGGTTACTCTTGGGGAACCTTGTCTTTCACTTAAAATGTGCTGCCTTTTATGGTTGTAGAAAAAAGTGTGAAGATGTGACCACTGAATGCTTCAAAAGCGACTTACCCCCAAATAGAAAATTATTTTAACAACATAACTGGTTTTAGGTGTCATAGCAGGGGAAGTAGCTCATGATTTTTAAGTGCATGGATTTGACAAGTACTGCTATGACCCATGGGTGGTTGGTACATACATTGCTATTTGAGGATGCTTTTAGTATTTGCATGCAGTATACAGGAAATAAATACAACTTTTAGTAGTTAAACAGAACCAAACAGTTAATTTACTAGGTTGCTCTAAAGCCACACTCTATGCAAACTCTACAAACTGATTACTTAATTATTTTAATGTTTTGACAGATATTAAAGACAAGCAAGTGTTCTGATTTTTTTTTTTTCTCTTATTACTATATTTAAAATGGGGGAAATATGGGAGCAGGTTTCTCAGTCCCACTCTGCACTTCTGGGTTATTTAGCCTTCCAGAGCACTTTACAGCTATTTTCTTTTCTTTTCTTTTATGGAAGGGAAAGATGAGAATGTTTACAATGACTATAACCATTAGGCTACATCATCCCATTATACTTCCCCCCATAAAATGCACTCACTTATGGCTGTCTAACAGGGAATATTAAGAGTCCTGCCATTCCCATTCTCACTGAGTTACCCAGCTCTGTAGGCCTTTTTAGGCATAGAAATTATGTAATAAATTGCAATAATTGTGAAATATCATAGTCATTGCATAGAACTTCTAAAAGAGATGTTAACTGAAGTAAAAAGCAGCTGTTCACATGTGCTTAGATCTTGGAGAGCAGAATCACATTTTGAAAGGAGTTATTTAAAGGAGACTCATTGCCTCTGTAGCTGGTGTATGACCCTCCATAGCACAGTGTGATCTGTGCACTAAAGTTAAACCTATACGTTATTTGCATGCACAGTTTACAGGCTGTGCAAAGAAATGATTGGAAATGAAAACCAGTATTTTCATAAACTGGGCTTTAGAATTCAAGACCTCACTTTACAGGTCAGTTTCAGGCACCTTAAAATTTTGGCCTGGTGTTTCAGAATGATTCTGAATAAATATAATACAGTAGAGGACAACAAAGATTAATGATAAACACAGTAAGGACTGCAGGATTTATGCCCATAAAGACATGGGAAGAAATAAAGTTGTGAGAGCATAGTAGCTGTTGGCTTTTGACTTGAACAAACCACACAAAGTCTATTATTCAATGCTATCAAAATGGGCTATAATACCTGCAGAGAATTGACACTAGAGGACAAGGCAAATAGTACTGCATGAGTAATGAATGTTCTTGAGCAAATGGACCAACTGCAACGTCATTATTGTAAAATAAATGCAACTTCTGTTTATTCCAGAAGGTGTACTATGGTATAGAAATGTTAAGGTCACAGATATTTTCCTTGCAAAAGTACTTTGACTCGTTTCCTCCTTGTATTTAATGCAAAAATACTAATTTGCAAACACACAAACCACTGTCAGATGATTTTTTCTTACAAATGATTAGTTATTTCACTGTCAGCTACTTTGTTTTTACAAATCATTAGCTTTTTCTAATTGGTACTGAACATTGAGCAACTTCAAATTTATAGCATGTGCTTTACAGCTAAGCAGTGTCAGTCTCTTTTAGCCATGCTAAAATTAGGGGGTTTTGAACATGATGGGTTTTTAATATGTTGTTTTGTATGAAAGAGGAATACCAAGACAGCAACTCTGTGAAAAAGGCTGCAGTCTCCTACTAAAGCTGTTTACAGCTAATATGAATTAGGTGCATCTATACAGAAAGTATTTAGCATAAAAATTCCCATCACAGTCATTTTTGAGTTATTTCTATGGCAGGCTTATATCTGTGTAGTATTTTCTTGTAATAGTAAAGAATTGGGTTGCTGAATAGAGATGCTCAGCATATTTTTCACAAGTAGGGTGGGAAAGAACAGGGAAGATTTAGCCTGCACATTGCCTTCTTCTGAAATATAAGTTGAATTTCCTTGTGGGTAGGGGACCGATTTTTTTCCTTTGTGGATGTTTTCACCACATTCAGATGTTTGCAGGTGGTGAGTAGCAGTTTTCTTGTCTTTAACCAGACTTGGGAAGAGGTGACAGCAATTTAGGGGCCAATAATCTGTCAGGTTACCTTGGGCTACTGGTCAAAAATGAGAATAATCCACCCATTTAGTAATTTTTGTCTCTTTCTTGGAGTTTCCTACACTCACCTGGCATGAATTACTTCGTTTGTAAACTTGGAGCAACAATAAATCGGCATTGGGCGTGTGGAGGGTTGGGGGCTAGGAGCCGGGAGGGGCGCGGGAGGGGGAGCGCGCTGCTGGTTGATTTCAGGGGTTGCCAGTTGTAAAGGCCGGGATATGAAGCACGTCGTGTCTCGCTTGTGACTGTAAAAGCGCCTGTCAGGACAATAAAAGCGGCTCTTCCCTTCCACGGCTGGGGGGCTGGTCTCGTGTCTGTGAGCGCGATAATGTCACTCCCTGGGGGGCAGGGGGATATAGTTAATAAACGGGGTGAGAGGAGATGGGCTTAATCTGTGCCAGGGCAGGCTTCGACTGGATGCGGGGTAGAATTCCTTTCCCGAGGGCG